GCAAATCCTGTATGATTTTATTTAGCAACAACAACTGCTCAATACATGGTAGTTGCTATACAAGTGATACAGCTGCTGCCGGAAGTCAACGTGAATTATTTATACTAGAGATGCCCAAACTAGGGCACATGGGCTAAAGTTGGCCCATTGTAACATTTGACCTGGCCCGCCATCCCATCTGAGAAGAGAGGGAGAATTTCGGGGAGGGTTGGGGTTAATGTTTTTAACACACATTGTCATTTCTAATAACCTTTCATTTGTTACTTTTATTTTTAAGCTACAAAAAACAAACTTGAATTAAATGTTTCAATTAAATGTTGTAATGAAAGCAGGTGCTGCTTGACTAGTGTATTCAGCATTAAACTCCATAATGTTATAATGGAATTCTTCTGTTTTCATTATAATTGGTTCATTATAAAATGTAAAAATATATATACAATTGATTAGTTTATATGCATAATGTTTTCTATTATTTTTAAATTAACGAGGAAATTACTCATGGAAACTTTGTAATACAGCTTGGTATATTTACCTTCAGCCCACAGCCCTCAATCAAGTTTGTTTTTTGGCCCTTCATAAGAAAAGAAAAAGTTTGGGCACCCTTAATCTATTAATTTACCCATTATTTGTATCTTATTAACGTCTACCCCCTACCATCACAGTAATGTAAAAAACTGTAATTATATTTATTAATTATACTGAGTATTATTCATATTATTTATTAAATTATACATTCAATTGTATTTTATTAATGTCTACACCTACTCCAACCCTAAACCCAGCCATTAAAGTAATGCAAAAAACAGTACTGTTTTATTCATATTATTTATTAAATTATCCATTAATTTGTATTTTATTTATGTTCACCCCACTCCAACCCAAAACCAGCCATGAAAGTAATGTAAAAACATTAAATATACCAAGAAATATTCATATTATTTATTAAATATACCATTAATTTGTGTTTTTATTAACATTTACCCCTACTCCAACTCTAAACCCAACAATCAAAGTAATGTAAAAAAAAAAGTAAATACACTGTATTATTCATTAAATTATCCATTAATTTGTATTTAATTAACGTTTACCCTACTCTGACCCCAAACCCAGCCATTAAAGTAATGCAAAAACAGTAATTATACTGTATTATTTATTAAATTATCCATTCATTTGTATTTTATTAACGTCTACACCTATTCCAACCCTAAACCCAATCATCAATGTAAAAACAGTAATTATACTGTTTTATTCATGTTATTTATTAAATTACTCATTAATTTTTTTTATTCATATTATTTATTGGATTATTCATTAATTTGTATTTTATTTATGTTTACCCCACTCCAACCCTAAACCCAGCCATAAAAGTAATGTGAAAACATTAATTTTACCAAGAAATATTTATATTATTTATTAAATTAACCATTAATTTGTGTTTTTATTAACCTTTACCCCTACCCCAACCATCACAGTAACCTAAAACAGCAATTATACCAAGTAATATTCCTATTATTTATTAAATTACCTCATTATTTGTATTTCATTAACATTAACCCCTACCATCACAGTAATGTAAAAACATTATACCAAGTATTATTCATACGTTTTATTAAATCCCCCATTAATTTGTATTTTACTCCCTCCCAACCCTCACAGTTCTGTAAAAATTATTGTTGCACAGCAATTCAGCAATTATATTGATATTTCATTGAGTTATGCTACACTGATGCGAATATCCACAGCTGTTTTTATTTAATGGAAAAACATTAACAACAAATGTCATCAATCAACAACAACAATCCAGGGGTTTTCAGTGATTTAGTCCAAGACAAGTGTCAAGTCCTTCGTCAAAGTCCTTGTTCTTATTACTTTTAAGTTTGATGATCCCTCAATAGACTTAAAATACATTTTAATTTCAATTTTAAAAAAATAAAAAAATATGTTTACACTTGCAAAACTAGCTTTTCTGAATATAAAATTTGGCAAACAAAAAAAAGGTTTATGAAATATGTATTATTTTTCTTTTCACATTCAGGAAAACCAAAAATAACATTATCAAATTTAAATTCAAAATCTGCCTTCACATAATCTTTTATAAAATCAAGAGTATCACACCCAATTGGCATTAAATGAGGGCAATTCCAAACTAAATAAAAAGTTTCAGGATTCGCAAAGCAAAAAGAACAGTAGGTGTAATATCATTCTTAAGCCTTTTAAGATTACACTTGTCTTGATGGCAATGACATCTATGAATAAATTTAAAGGTAACTTCTCTTATTTAGTTTGTTTTAAAAAAGACAATTGCAGGGAAACGACTAAACTTTCTTCCTTGAAATATAATTTAAAAAAACATTCCAATATGACATTACATAAGGCACAGTAATTGAATCTTCCAGAAACAGGGCTCTTATTTCCTTATTGCATTTTGATTTAGATAATGAAAGGCAGTGTTTACCAATACATGTTTTCCAAAGGTCCACTGAATGACAAGCAATTGGAAATGAAAGTCCTTTAAAAAGCATAAAAACATCTTGTGGGATTGCATCAGCAACAACTGTAAAGTCTTTTGGGCTAAAAATTCAGAGTAGTTACAAAGTGGACCACTGTCATTGAATAGCTGAGACACATAAACTTCATAATTTATGGTAACACGCACTATACAACAGCACCATCTAGTGGTCAATTAAAGCACTACTACGGCTGCGTTAATCATCTTTAAACATATTTGGAGAATGAATGTACACACAGGGTGGAGTTTACCGCCTAACGTCAAATTATAGCTCACAATTCAAACTCATATCTGTCTGAGAACTGAGATATTAAAGCAAACAAACTGTAATACATTCATTTAATGCCTAACTTAACGTAAACTAACCGCCGTTCAAATGAGGTAACGTTAACTTAACGTACAGTGATTTAATTTAAATTCTCGAACAATATCACAATGGTCACTGTTGTTCTAGAAGCGTCAGATATATGCAATAATATATAAAATATGTCAATATAGTCACTAATGGCTGGCAGTTTTGCCTCTTGCAAAGTCACTTCTGCAAACTCACCCAAGCGGCGGCGGTTGTCAAAGTCCACTGGTTTGTAAATGAGCGACTGTCCGTCAAATCCACACGGTTAACGTAGAAATCGACGACTCGGGTGATTGATTCCTGTTTAAACGACGTCCAGTTTTAGTTTACGGTGTATCTGTAATGTACAGTAAGACTTAAGTTTACCGTGATGTCCATCCACACACGCATAGTGTGTACACACACACACACACCAATGAGTTTGTTGAGCAGAGACTGGCGCGCGCAGTAGAGACGCAGGAGAGAAAAGCCACGCCCCCTGACGCTGCTGCGCATGAGGTCATTACGCTACTGGACAATAAATCACGTATGTTTGATTTCATTGAGGATTTTTTTCTGATACTAATCCCTCTGTTGTCGTTAACTGTGTCCCATTGCTTTCATTATTATGTTAGAATTTATTTTACTTATTTATTTTTTTATATTTTATTTTTAATGTTTGCGTTTTTTTTACATATATTTCTAGATGCTTTTTGCATTTTATTGTACTGATCTTGGATATATTTTGTGTCTGGATTTTTATTAATGCTTAATGTAATATTCTAATGCTTTTAATAAAATGTTGATATTCGCTTTTTACATTTAACATTATTTATGTATTTGCAATTCATTCATTCATATAAATAAAAACATTATTTTCTGTCAATTGTTAGATCTAAATAAATGAAATATTTATTTACAGTTCATTCTTTCATTCATTTATTCATAATGCATTTCTGCCCATTTTTAGATCTAAATATGTTTATATAATAAATAATATAATAAATGAAATAAATAAAAATAAGTTTAGATCTAAATATATTTATATAATAAATATTAAAATAAACTAAATAAATAAACATAATTTAATTGTAGATCTAAATATGTTTATATAATAAATAATATAATAAATTAAATAAAAATAATATGATATAATTTTAGATCTACTGCGGTGCCGCAGTAGGTAGTGCTGTCGCCTCACAGCAAGAAGGTTGCTGGTTCAAGCCTCGGCTGGGTCAGTTGGCGTTTCTGTGTGGAGTTTGCATGTTCTCCCCGTGTTCGTGTTGGTTTTCTCCGGGTTCTCCAGTTTCCCCCACAGTCCAAAGACATGCTGTACAGGTGAATTGGGTAGACTAAATTGTCCCAGAGATGGGTTGCAGCTGGAAGAGCATCCGCGGTGTAAAACCTGTGCTGGATAAGTTAGCGGTTCATTCCGCTGTGGTGACCCCAGATTTATAAAGGGACTAAGCTGAAAAGAAACTGAATGAATGAAGTAATATAATAAACGAAATAAATAAATATTATATATTTTTAGATCTAAATATATTTATATAATAAATAATATAATAAATAAATATAATATAATATAATTTTAGATCTAAATAAAGAAAAAAAATAAAGAAATGTTTTCATTTATTGCTATATAAAGTTATGTGCATACATTATATAATATATATTATACAATAATTCAAGGGGGCTAATAATTCTGACTTCAACTGTATAGCTATAAACACATATATCATTTTAAAGATAATATATTTGAATAAAAAAAATGTTTGTGATTGCATTGGCTGGTATAAAAACGGCTATTTTTGCAATGTATACACTAAGCCTAACATACGAAAAGTGTATGCAAACGGTGATTATTTGCAATATTTTGAAATATGTGTTGCAAATATGACATATAGGCTGTTTTATATATGTAAAATATGCAATTTGCCTTTATTTCCATTTATCCGCTTCTACATGGGGAATAAAAGGAATGATTGAATGAATGTACATACAACAACAACAACAACAACAAATAAACAAACAAACAAACAAAAAAAAAACATTGCGAAAAGAAACCTGTATCTGAAAACGAACCTGATGTGAAGGAATCTGCGTTGCTTCCTTCGTTAAATTAAATTGATGGAATGACGATGAATGAAGGGGCGGAGCTGATGACGAATAGCAGCAGCATCCAGACAGCAGAGCCCCGCGTGAATGACACATGGACGATTCAGCATATCAAACCAATATATCTGTCTATATATTTACACTATTGTTTATGTCATGTGGATAATGTAGCGTAGCTCGCTTCATTATCATCCACAGCGGAGGCTAATTACTAGCAAAACAGGAAACAATTACGCGATTTGCATCTGTACATCCAATATAAACACCAGCATACAGCGACGCTATCATACAGTATTACAGGCTGTGATAGAGGTAAGCCTTTTATTGATATATTTAATTTCATTATTGACATATAGAGATATTCTAACAGAAGCTGAGGGCAATATATAATGATACTGATGCTGAGATTTTAACATCTGTATTGTTATATAGCCTAACTAATATGTTAGCATTCATTTTCATAGATAAAGGAGCAATGGGATGTTATAAGAGTAATTTATCCCCCAGAGTTCCTCTGCTCCCTATTTATTCTCATTTATCCGACAAATCCAATCTTAAACCCTGCATTGTGGTCAAACATGACTGCTGACTATTGCTCAGTGATTCCTAATTGAAAACAACGGCAGCGTACTACTATTTCCTATCAAATTAAACTAGTACAGACGTTTGTATTTCAGTATATTAGGCTTTTCCAGTTGTCTGGGGAGAACATGGAGAGCTACGATGATTTCTGCGCACGGATTGTGTCTAAACTGCAGACGGAAATGAGGCGTAAAAAGAGCTGCAGTACCGCACCTGCGCGAGTGGTGGCGCACTCTCTCATCTGCTTTCATGGCAGGCCGGTTCTCTGTCCTGTTGTGAGTATTTACTTACTTTGTTATTAATGCTTAAAGAACAGAATACAGAACAAAAAATACAACAAATATTAAGACAAAAAGGTCAGGGGTATACAGAAAACAAAACATAAATAAGACAAACATACAAATAAATAAGTATAGGGCGGCACGTTGACTCAGTGGTGAGCACTGCCTCACAGCAAGAAGGTAACTGGTTTGACTCCTGACTGGGTCAGTTGGTATTTCTGTGTGGAGTTTGCACGTTCTCCCCATGTTTGTGTTGGTTTCCTCCAGATGCTCCAGTTTCCCCCACAGTCAAAAGACATGCAATATTGGTGAATTGGATAAACTAAATTGGCCATAGTGTTAGAGTGTGTGTAAACTTGAGTGTGCATGGGTGTTTCCCAGTACTGGGTTGTAGCTGGAAGGACAACCACTGTGTAAAACATGCTGGAGTAGTTGGCGGTTTATTCCTCTTTGGCAACCTCAGATAAATAAAGGGACGCACATGTCTCTAGCATGTGTCCGCTCATTGTTACCATTTAGCATGTTTTTTAGCATGGTTTTACACGTTTCTAGTATGTTTTAGATCATTTATTTAATTTATCATGTTTTTACATGTTTCTGCTTATTGTTACCATTTATCATGTCTATTAGCATGTTTGTACATGTTTATAGCATGTTTCTGCTCATTGTTACCATTTAGCATGTTTATTAGCATGTTTTCTTTCTGATTGTTGTTTCCATTTATCATGTTTATTAGCATGTTTTTACATGTTTCTAGCATGTTTCCGGTCATTGTTACCATTTACAATGTTTATTAGCATGTTTTTGCATGTTTCCAGCATGTTTTCTCTCATTGTTTTCATATATCATGTTTATTAGCAAGTTTTTGCATGTTTCGGCTCATTGTTACCATTAAGCATGTTTATTAGCATGTATTTTACATTTTTCTTATTGTTGTTTTCATTTATCATGTTTACTACCACGGTTTTACATGTTTCTAGCATGTTTACGCTCACTGTTACCATTTACCATTTTATTAGGATGTTTTTACATGTTTCTAGCATGTTTCCGGTCATCATTACCACTTAACATGTTTATTAGCAGGTTTTTGCATGTTTCTAGCATGTTTCCTCTCATTATTTCTATTTATCATGTTTATAAACATGTTTTTGCATGTTTCTGCTCATTGTTACCATTTAACATGTTTAATAGCATGTTCTTGCATGTTTCTGCTCATTGTTACCATTTAGCATGTTTAATAGCATGTTTTTGCACGTTTCCAGCATGTTTCCTCTCATTGTTTCCATTTATCATGTTTATTAGCAAGTTTTTGCATGTTTCTAGAATGTTTCGGCTTATTGTTACCATTAAGCATGTTTATTAGCATGTATTTTACATGTTTCTTATTGTTGTTTCCATTTATCATGTTTACCGGCATAGTTTTACATGTTTCTAGCATGTTTACGCTCATTGTTACCATTTACCATTTTATTAACATGTTTTTATATGTTTCTAGCATGTTTCCAGTCATTGTTACCACTTAACATGTTTGTAGCATGTTTTCTCACGTTTCTAGTATGTTTCCCCTCATTGTTTCCATTTATCATGTTTATTAACATGCTTTTGCATGTTTCTAGCATGTTTTCGCTCATTGTTACCATGTAGCATGTTTAATAGCATGTTTTTTTACATGTTTCTTGTTGTTTTCATTTACCATGTTAATTAGCATGGTTTTACAGGTTTCTAGCATGTTTACGCTCATTGTTACAATTTACCATTTTATTAGCATGTTTTTACATGTTTCTAGCATGTTTCCGGTCATCATTACCACTTAACATGTTTATTAACATGTTTTTGCATGTTTCTAGCATGTTTCCTCTCATTATTTCCATTTATCATGTTTATTAGCATGTTTTTGCATGTTTCTAGCATGTTTCCTCTCATTATTTCCATTTAACATGTTTATTAACATGTTTTTGCATGTTTCTAGCATGTTTCCGCTCATTGTTACCATGCAGCATGTTTAATAGCATGTTTTTGCATGTTTCTGCTCATTGCTACCATATATCATGTTTATTAGCATGTTTTTACATGTTTCTAGCATGTTTACGCTCATTGTTTCCATTTATTATGTTTATTAACATGCTTTTGCATGTTTCTAGCATGTTTCTGCTCATTGTTACCATTTTGCATGTTTAATGGCATGTTTTTGCTCATTGTTACCATTTACCATGTTAATTAGCATGTTTTTACGTTTCTAGCATGTTTCTGCTCATTGTTACCATTTAGCATGTTTAATAGCATGTTTCCACACATTTTTAATATTTAGCATGTTTCTGCTCCTTCTCACTACTTAGCATGTTATTAGCATAAATGTAGCAGTTTTTGCAGTTTGCATACTGTATTACTCAATTTGTATAGATGTTCAAAATAAAAATATACTTTAAATACTAATATGATACACTTATTTAGGACAAAATTTATTAAAAAAGAAAATGTGAGGACTGTTGGACACTTCTTGCACTCAGCTGACACAGCTTTAGTTTTGTGGCTAATTATGTTTAAGAATGTGAATGACAAACATAACCTTATGAAGTCCAGATACTAGAGAGTTGGCTACACTGCAGAGTATGCATCTATGGTATGTCATTTGAGATAGAGCTTAAGAAGTTATAATAATTAGAAACAGCATGTGACTAGTATGTTGCTAGTATGTTTTAACACCTAGATAGATTAGGCTTACCATTTACTTTAATTTAGCAATTCGCTTTTGAATGTTTTTGCACCTTGTGTTTCAAGCTAAGTGAGAAACAAAGAAGAGAAATGGCTAAATACAAGAAAAGAGCATCACAAGTGGAGGCAGGACGACAGCTTCATCATAACAATAACCTGCTCAATCAGATGCCGGCAAGTCTTTGGACCAGTAAGGTAAGGAAATGAGTGTCTTATGTAATACAGGCACTTTTATGTTGCATTTTGGGAATATTTTCGAATTGCATTCATTGTTATTATTATTATTATTAATATATTAATATCCATACATTAAATATACACAAAAGTCTCACCAAAGCTGTGTTTATTTGATATATATGCAGTAAAACATTAGTATTGTGAAATATTATTTCTGTGATTATTAAAGTCTGCATGACATTGCAATTAAATGTGATATATTCAGTACTCCAGCCTTCAGTATCACATGATCCTTTTGAACATAAAACCTTTTCGAACATGTGGTCGGAACAAAAGTTTACTGTGACTGTGTTCTCTGAAATTCTCTCAAACGGTGGACTTCTATATTCTAATTGCTTGCCGCTGCTCCTCGCCGCTTATCGCCGTCGGCTCTCATTGAAAATGAATGACTTCCGGCTACTTTGACGCTCTCGCCGCTTTCGGTCTGAACGTACGGTAAGAGTGGTCAACCTGAGAAAACTTGAGCCGAGCACAACATACAAGACAAGACAAGACTAGTGTCTGGACTCTGCCACCAAAACAAAAATGAACAAGACCGAAGTGACAGAATCCTGACATCTTACCTCAAACTTTTTTTCTAGGAAAAACAATAACAAAATTTCACAATATTACTGTTTTCTTTGATCATCAAAATGTCATCATGATGTGATCAATTTTGATGGGTATAATAATTTATGAGGACTTATGAGAAATGATTAAGAGAGCTAATTATTTTGGTTTAATTTAATAGATTGATATAATCATTTAAAAAATGTAAAAACTGCTTTTTATTCAAGCCAAACTAAAAGAAATTATAATAATTTCTCCAGATAAAAAAAAATATAGAAAATAATAAGTCTGATAAGCAGCACTTTGGAAATATTTTAAAAAGATTAAAAAAATTCACAGGAAGACTGATAATTTTGACTTATATAGTATAATTTTGAACTGTATATAGCTTATCCACAAATATTTGTTGTGAAATTACTTGCATCTTCTTGCATCCTAGGCACCAAAAGTCTTGGATATCCCACAGCCTTCAGAGCAGCGCACGTCTCCTTCTCCAAAGACAGACTACAGGAATGGTTTCACACGACCGGACAGTACAAAACTCAGACATAATGGAGCTCCTGAGCCATATATACTGTCCAACAGGCCTCCAGTGACTCCATCATCTGATCTACCTGCGTTTGTGAGAGGAAAACCTGCCGAGGAAAAACAAATGCAAGAGGAAACTGAACCAGGAGTTTGCCTGCAGAACCTGCTAAAGAAATCACGTGAATTCATTGAAAAAGAGCAAGCAAAACCAGGCTCAAAACTCAACAAAACCCCGTCAGAAAGCCCCTCGGAGCCTGTTGGCTGCTTTCTGAATGGGACTGGTTTTAGTGGCTCCCCCAGTTACACCATCAGCTCAGAATGTGGTCTAAATGCAAACAAATCCCACCGCGGACGCCCTCGTCCCATTTCTGCATGCAGCATCTTCTTTTCTTTACCTGAAAACCCCAAACCAAACATTACACCCAATGCAAGACCACAGGATCTAAAACCAATTGGAATGCAGGAAAGGAAGCTGCTTGGGTTGGAAAATGTGAATGTATCTCCTTATGAGGATTTCTCCAGGTTGACCGAGACTATAGGTAGACTGGAAACATCTCCAGTAGACGCTGAGCTCACGAGTCCTCTATTTCGGAGGAGATGCCACACGCTGGACAGCCATCTGTCCTCACGTCCTGTCATAGATAGGAGCCAGGAGCGAATGCCTCGCTTTATGGCTGGGGTCACGGCGAGAACGCCAACTCGCCTTTCACCTCCTTCACCAATGAACAAGAGTCCCGGAGTAGCATTCATGGGGTCTGCAGTCAGTCCAGAATCTCCTTCTCATGCCAAACTACAATTCGAGATGGAGAGGAACAATGTTATTAGTACTTCGGTAAAAGACCGAAGGACAGGTAAGAACACGAGTTAAGGCCCGTTCACACAGAACATGTCTTTGCATCTAAAAACATCAAACACTTCACTTAGGAGTGGTATTTTAAAGCAGTGCTTCCCAACCCTGTTCCTGAAGGTACACCAAGAGTTCACATTTTCAACCTCTTCCTAATCAAACACACCTGAACCAACTCATAAGAACACTAGAAGAGACTCCAAAACCTGAAGTGAATGGGTCAGATAAGGGAGACATCAAAACATGTACTGTTGGTGTGCCACTAGGAACACTGTTGGGAAACACTGTATAGCCATATCAAATAAGTTTAATTTCAAGTGGCTTGCAGTGTTTTCCAGAATCCAAAACACACCAAGAACTGTTTCAAATATAAAAAACCCAAGCAAAAAGCAGCTCAAGACACATATACAACCATGAAAAGTTATTGATAAGAAAACGTAATCAATTGAACATCAAAGAGCCAATATATAATAATAACAATTCTATTATTATTACTATTTGAGATCAGACTTACAGCTATATTTGATAAAGTATCCTCTCTGTCGTGTATGTCTCTTGTGTCTTTAGATGAGATGCAATGGCAGGCGCAGGCTCTGGAAGACATGCAGAGGTCACTGGAGGAAGACTACGCTTTTCGGATGTCCTGTCTAATGGCGGAGCAAGAGAGAGAACACCTGGTGGGACACAGATAGACACTATCTATCTATCTGTCCGTCCGTTCGTCCATCCATCCATCCATCCATCCATCCATCTATCTATCTGCCTCTCTGTCTCTCTATCTGTCAATCTGTCTGTCCATTCATCCATCTGTCCGTCCGTCCATCCGTCCGTCCATCCATCCATCCATCTATCTATCTGCCTCTCTATCTGTCAATCTGTCTGTCCATCTATCTACTATCTGTCTGTCTGTTCGTCCGTCCATCGATCCATTTATCGATCCATCCATCCATAAACCCACCCACCCATCTATCTATCTATCTATCTATCTATCTATCTATCTATCTATCTATCTATCTATCTATCTATCTGTCTGTCTGTCTGTCTGTCTGTCTGTCTGTCTGTCTGTCTGTCTGTCTGTCTGTCTGTCTGTCTGTCTGGCCGTCCGTCCGTTAGTCCGCCCGCCCGTCCGTCCGCCCGCCCGTCCGTCCGTCCGTCCGTCCGTCCGTCCGTCCGTCCGTCTGTCTATCTATCTATCTATCTATCTATCTATCTATCTATCTATCTATCTATCTATCTATCTATCTATCTCTGTTTAAAACCTCTCTCTGTTTACTGCCCACCTTGTCAACTTCATTCTAAGAGCGCATCCTAAACCATGTGACACCCTATACAAGTTTGTCAATGTCAGCTACATTAATAGTCACTTATATCTATTATGCAAATCTTTTATGCGATTTTCCAGTTGTGTAAATTCAATTCGCATCTAGGCTTATGACGGTATTACATTTTCTTGTATTAAGCTTTTGTCATGGTGTCCGGTATAATCACAGTATTGAGCTAAGCGACTTTAACCTGTAAAATAACCAAACACACACACAAAAAAAAAATGTTCAGAGTAAACAAATGTTTCAATTTCAATTAAACTAAACTCAAAAGGATGATAAAGTACAATAGGTAATTGTACAATAGGTTTCACAGTGCTTGATAAAAATGGTTGTTTAATAAAAAAACAGAATAACACTGTATGTCTGTTGCTCATGCAGGATTCAGAGGAGCGGGTCAGGAGACTGAGGGCTCAGGGTGGTCTGAGTCCTGCTGTGGGTGGGAGAGGATAGCTGTGCTGACCGATACCCTATACTGAGCCCCATGTGCCCTTTAAGTCCCGGAGACAGATCCCCGCGACACCCGCTGCAGAAGATGGGTACGACAGAAAACACACCAGCCTGTGATGAATGTCCTTAGATTGTCTGTCTGTCTGTCTGTCTGTCTGTCTATCCATCCATCCATCCATCCATCCATCCATCCATCCATCCATGTGTCAATCTCCTATCTATCTATCTATCTATCTATCTATCTATCTATCTATCTATCTATCTATCTATCTATCTATCTATCTATCTATCTATCTATCTATCTATCTATCTATCTATCTATCTATCTATCTATCTATCTAGCAATTGTTCTATCTTTTCACCCATCTATCCATCCATCCACCTATAGGAATAAACTGTAAAAGTGTTCAATTTACAAAAGCACAGCAAAATTGCAAAATTGCAAAAAAAATCTAAACAAAAACGAAATCACTAAATTCATTAAATATTGTAAGTAAATACTATAAAAATGTAAAAATTTAAAATAATACAAAATGATAAAATAACACTAATTCAAAACATTCACACTTTAATTTCTTAACTACAAGATGTCAGATGTGGTTAAAAAATAAAAGTAAACAATAATGCTATTAACCCCTTTCAACTATAAAATCTATACACTTGTCATCACCTGTCTGTGTTTCTACCTCTCAGGTTTTCCTTCTCCCACCTATGATGCAACATCGCCTTCAATACAGCCTCCTGTTTATCTGAGAGGACTGAAGAGCAGAAACAGGCTGAGCCAGGTTTGTTTTAAAGTGCTTTTATAATTTGTAAACTGCTCCCACAAGAGTAAAATAAGCTAGAATAAAAATTATCTAAATGTTATGTCTGTGAATGGTCAGGTTTTGACGGTGGAGCAGCAGAGGGCGCTGTTTCGCCTTACCGCCATCGTCAAGGGCTTCCTGATCAGACGACTGCTGAAAACTGAGAAAGTTAAAAACCTGCGGCAGACGGTACAGGTGAGAACACACAGCACCATGTTCACTTGCATGCTCATAAGGGCCTGCAGGGTTTAACAGTGTCTGCTTTCTCCTCAGGACACGCAGGAGTTCATCAGTTCGTTCAGCAGTAATCTGTCAGAGCAGGATCTGTGTCTGCAGGAGCGTGTCAGAGCCCAGGTCTCCGTCAGAGCTTTAGTGTTCAGTGTTTACTGCTGTAAAACTGACACTGATGATGTGTTTATTATCTGTTTTTTACAGCTACGTGCGGCCTTGTTTGATATTCATGATATCTTTTTCACACTCACACTAGAGGAGCGTTTGACTCTGATCCAACAAGACAGAGAGTTACGCACTGAGAGGAAACTCAGAGAAATGGTAAACATCTATCTGTCTGTCTACCTACCTATCTGTCTGTCTGTCTGACCATTAGTCCATCAAACTATTCATCTGTCTGTCTGTCAGTCTGTCTTTCTGTCTGAAAAGTCCATCAAACTATTCATCTATTCATCTGTCTGTCCATCCATCCTTCCATCCATCTATCTGTCAAATCCATTCCCTATCTATCTGATATCTATCCATTCATCCATCCATCCATCCATACATCTGTCCATATGTCTGTCTAACCTTCCATCCATCCATCCATCCATCTGACCATTAGTCCATCAAACTATCCATCTATTCATCTACCTGTCCATCTATCCATCTGATATCTATCTGTCTAAGTGTTCATCCGTCCATCCATGTCTGTCTAACCATCCAACTGTTTATCTATCTATCTATCTATCTATCTATCTATCTATCTATCTATCTATCTATCTATCTATCTATCTATCTATCTATCTATCTATCTATCTATCTATCTATCTATCTGTCTGTCTGTCTGTCTGTCTGTCTGTCTGTCTGTCTGTCTGTCTGTCTGTCTGTCCGTCCGTCTTTTTATCCATCCATCCATCCATCCATCCATCCATCCATCCATCCATCCATCCATCCATCCATCCATCTATCTATCTATCTATCTATCTATAAACTGTTTTTATCTATCTATCTATCTATCTATCTATCTATCTATCTATCTATCTATCTATTCTGTCTGTCTGTCTGTCTGTCCGTTCGTCCGTCTTTTTATCCATCCATCTATCCATCCATCCATCCATCCATCCATCCATCCATCCATCATCTATTGATCGATCTATCTATCTATCTATCTATCTATCTATCTATCTATCTATCTATCTATCTATCTATCTATCTATCTATCTATCTATCTATCTATCTATTTATCTATAAACTGTTTTTATCTATCTATCTATCTATCTATCTATCTATCTATCTTCTATCTATCTATCTATCTATCTATCTATCTGTCTGTCTGTCTGTCTGTCTATCTGTCTGTCTGTCTGTCCGTTCGTCCGTCTTTTTATCCATCCATCCATCCATCCATCCATCCATCCATCCATCCATCCATCCATCCATCCATCCATCCATCCATCCATCCATCCATCTGTCAATCTATCTATCTATCTATCTATCTATCTATCTATCTATCTATCTATCTATCTATCTATCTATCTATCTATCTATCTATCTATCTATCTATCTATCTATCTATCTATCTATCTATCTATCTATCTATCTATCTATCTATCTATCTATCTATCTATCTATCCATCCATGTGTCTAATCACCTATCTATCGTTCATTCTGTCTGTCTATCTATCTATCTATTGTTCTATCTTTTTATCCATTCATCCATCCATCCATCCGTCTATCATTTTGATAGGTCCATTACTGAAAGTACAAACTTCTAGAAATAAGTTTCCAATCAAACAGTTTATTTTGCTTACAGGAAAAAGCAAAAAGCCCTAAAGACAAGGTGATTTTCTCTGCTGCTACCCAGAAATCTCTCGACAGAAAGAAGAGGTGAGTGAGCAGTTTCTCCTCAGTTTAATCTTTTAAATCATTTTAGCAGTTTTATTTTTTGAGCTGTGAATACATTTTATGAAAACACATTTGTATTTTAACATTAGCATTAAGATAATACATAGAAAATAAGACTGAATATAAGACAAACAGGTAAATAAATAAAAATGAATGAATTAAAGTACAAAGGGTGCATTTTAGGACTGTTGGGATTCATGGCTGAAATTGCTTAGGGCTCCAAATCACTAGATCACAAAAAAATCTATAAATCTGATTAGGCTGATAGCCGTGCAATATTACCATAATAACAGCACTTGTACAGCCTCTTCACCCTTGTGTATTACTCAGCCCACATAGAGTGACAGCAGATAAATAAACTCACTACAGTTGTTGTTAGACAACATCATGTACTTTTGAGGCTTTTTAGGCGAGAATGGAGTTGTTAGATTGCAACTATAAAGTTTATTTATAAGGACAGTGCCTGGGAAAAGGGCAGTACTGGGAAATCTCTGTAGACATTTCATGGTGTAATATAATGTGAGCAAAATGACCTGTTTTGTCATGACTTTAGACATTACGCTAGAGAATCATTCAAATACTAGCTCTTAAGTGATGTTGGTCAATGGGCAACAGTTTCTGCTGTTCTGACGTCAACTGCAGATGAGAATGAATGGCGGAAGAAAGTAGTTTCTTACACAAAAGAGTTTTTGACACTGTGTTTGATTTTCTTTTTTATAACCCACGCCTCGCACCACTGCCATACACATATTCAGCCGTATCGCACTGCTACAAGTGCGATATTGCTCATTTAAATATTTAGTTAATTTTATTAATATTATTATGTTTTTTATTTAAACTAATCCTGTCATGAAGTAACCAATTTATTAGTAGTACGCTAAAACTCCATACCTGACCTGCTCCAAAATATTGTTCATCAGAGTTGGTGAATCTCCAGTCCAGACCAGAAGAGCTCAGAAAACCAAGAGTCCTCCTACAAAAAGGTGAAAACACTGGAACACACACCAACAAATCTCTTTACAGAAGCACATTCAGTACTCACTCTGCACCGCATACAATAGAAGTCAGAATTATTAACCCCCCTGTATATTTTTCAACACATTCCTAAACATAATAGTTTTAATAACTGATGTCTTTTATCTTTGCCAAGATGACAGTACATATTATTTGACTAGATAGTTTTTAAGATACTAGTATTCAACTCAAAGTGACATTAAAAGGCTTAACTAGTTTAATTAGGCAGGTTATGGTAATTAGGCAAGACATTGTATAACGATGGTTTGTTCTGTAGTCAATCAAAAAAACATATTGCTTAAGGAGGCTGATAATTTTGACCTCACAATGGTTTATAAAAATTAAAAACTGCTTTTATTCTAGCCGAAATAAAACTAATCAGACTTTCTCCAGAAGAAAAAAATATTATCAGACATACTGTGAAAATTTCCTTGCTCTGTTAAACATCATATATATATA